AAATGTGACAATTGCTTATTCCGTTCAGAATTTTGTGTTCTTTAAGCAAGATCCAATATTTTTACGCATGACATTTCTACGTGAAATGAGGTTGTTTTTTTTTCTATTCTATGCATGTCAAATTAATCATTCTCTCAAATTTTAATTAATTGTTCTACTCCCATATTATTAAATTAATTACACTCATTAGTATGAATAAAAGAAAATAAGTGTGAGTCTGGATCTAGGTAGTATGGATGTAGGTGTTGATATGAATATGGCCATTTAAGTGAAGGGAAAACATTGACACCCACACACCTAAGTTGGTATAATTAGAATGGAAAGAAATTGGTTTTGTGTAGAAATATCGATGGACTTTTTTTAAAATGGAAAGTGATTTACAACAAATTATCATTTACTGAAATATACAAAAATCATTGTTTTTGAAAACTTTGTAAACAAAAAAAAAGAAATATACTGCAAAAAGTTTATTTTCTAAATTAATTTATTCTTGTTAGCAATTTTTATTTTGAATTCAATCAAATCTTTATACATGTTTTATATACACATAGATTTTTACTTTATACTTCTCAACAAAATCATTTAAATAAAAAAGAGTTTTCTTCTGAGAAACAAAATCGAATTCTCTTGATTGTTCAGATTTTCTAACATTAGAATCAACATGAAGTCGTATGGCTTCATTGAAAAATATATGCAGTCATAATTCGATATGCTATTGTTCATAGAATGTAGTAGATTATTGCAACAACTCGAACATTCGATATTGAAACATTTTCACAAGCATCATAGATTTTCGTTGATTTTTTTTCTTCTTTAATTTTGTAAGATCTTTCAGATTGTTATCTATTTACTACTATATTAATTTTGTAAAAGTATTAAAATACATCTGTAATACAGTCTATATCTGACATTTGTATGTCAAATTCTACTTATGATAGATGACTTAAATTTGATCATTAACAAAATTATTTCTATTCTATTATTAATAAATACAGACATTGCCGGAAATTACAGAGAACAAAACTTCAAAACATATCCTATGATATAGGATGGCTTAAAAGTTACGCTATCGAAGAAAAAAAAAAAAAGAATATCTCCATTACGACTCGAGCAAACAATCTGATAGTTTTTTTTTTTATTAATGATAAAGATATGTCCAAGTTTTATATCCATTAAAATAACATACTTAACAAAAGATCTCTCTAGATATGCCTTTATGAATATAAAGCTTGAACATGTCTCTATCATTGATTAAAAAAAATTAGCTAATTTAGTCGAGCCGTAACAGAGATATTCAATTATTCCTTGGTTATGTGACTTTTGGATCATTCTGTATTATTTTTTTTTAAATAGGATGTTTGACTGTAAAATATATCTTTAAAAGAATTATATATTAAACCTTGTCTACATTCTATATTGTCTTTCTACTGATTGTGCGCAATCATTATTTACATAATAAATAATAAAATCAATATTATTTATCGATTCATTCATCCTATAAATACGTGCAAGAAAAAAAAAAGAAACGTGTTTACACAAAATCATAACCATCGTGTATATATCATAAATTTTCTTTTATTTAATATATTAAATTTGCTTAGACGTTTGCACATGGGGAAATCATTTTCCTTATCAATTGTAGACAAAAAAAAAACAAAACAACATGACTCTATGATTGTGCGGTCCTCGACATTATCTTAAGCGTTGTGCCACAACACACTTGACGCCATTCTTTGTATTGTTGAAACGAAAATAAAAAATGTTTCGTCTACACACTCAGGCACAAATGATATGACTCTATATATATATATATATATATATGATTTAAACAAATGCCTGCCTGATGAAATAAGAATCCTCGTCTTCTTCTTTTTTTCTTTTTCATTCTTTTATTCACCTTCTCCTCTTTCCCATATGTCGTATTGCTGTCATTCTATATATATATATATACACCCATTGTGACACACAAAGGCATGAACATCAATAGCAATATTTTATATTGTCTTAACCCAGCATATTAATCAGTGCACATATTTACTTTTGAGCACTAGTAAATATTACTCTAGAATGTTGAGAGATCGGTAATATTGATGAGAGATAAAAAAAAAGATTTTCTTTTATATATTAGTTTTGCCTATTTCTTTCTACTTCATTAATTCTGTGTTCATTGAATAAATTCCAAGTAATCCATTGAGACCGAATTATCAACAAGATTTTACTTTTGTGTTTATCTTACTTGAGAAGTTAACAATCAATGAAATATAATAGGATAAAATATTATTATATAGGAGTTCTATTGATTTAACTTATCGTATCATTTATATTGATTCTATTTTTATAATATTGTCAACTTTTGAAAAGACAAGTGTTACATAAGTAGTAACATATGGTGCGATATATTATTATATTAGTCAAACATAAGATATTTACTTCTATTATTTGATGCATTATTAAGAACTTGTCAAGAGATTCTTCTCTAATCCTATTTCTTTCATACGTTCTTTTTTTTTTTTTTTTCTTTTTTCTTATATATTCCTTCAGGACAAATTTTATGGGACACGCACAGAATAATAGTGTGTAAGAGGGAAGCGAGAAAAAAATTGAGCTACGACAGAAATGTTAGTTTTAACGCATCAGACCGATAGTTAACAGTCGGGAAAAAAAAAGGAAGCTCGATGGATTGTTTCATTTTATGCTTTTGCGCGTGCATTTATATCTTGCTTTCTTTATTCGTTCTTAACATATAAAGAAGAAAACCGACCATGCTTGTCAAATTGTCATATAACTTTCGCTTACTGGTTCCTTTTTGTTTTTCTTTTTTTTTTTTTTTTTGATAGATAAATGAGTGACGATCTCATATCTATAAAATTGTTTATTTTTGAATATTATTTTTAAAATAAATTATGATTATTTATCATCGACAAGATTATATTTATCTATTATGTATTATATGTAGTAGTCTTATGTTACTTACAAGTATTATTAATATAATTTATATTGTTCAACGTTCAATATTAAATAAAACGAATCAATATACACAAATATCTATGTCAAATATTTATCTAAATAATAGAACTAATAATTCAGAAGAAATATCTCAAAAACAAAATGATTATTTTGAAGAAACATATAAAATATTTATGAAGTCATCTATACATAATTATTTTTCTAGAATAGAAAATCGAAATCTATCATTAAATTATTGTCCACCTATACCACCTAATCTTCAAGGTGCTTTAAGAATTCATGAAGTACCAAAAAATTTTTCTATTACAACTAATTCATCATATCATATTGATGTTCAATTAGGTGGTTTTTATCAACCAATAAATTGTTTAGCTCGTCATAAAGTAGCTATTATTGTACCATATCGTGATCGTTGGGATATTCTTACTCATTTTCTTTTTCATACACATGAAATTTTACAACGACAACAACTAGATTATCGAATATATGTATGTGAACAAGCATTTAATAAAACTTTTAATAAAGGTATTGTTATGAATGGTTGTTTTAAAGAAATTTTAAAACTTGAGCCAAATACACACTGTTTTATAATGCATGATGTCGATTTATTATTAACTGATGATAGAAATATGTATACATGTCCAAGATATCCACGTCATTTAAGTGTTGCTATTGATAAATTCCATTTTTATTTACCTTATGCACAACTTGTTGGAGGTGTTTTAGGTAAGAGAAAAAATTTAACTGATTTAGTCTTTTAATAATAGAATATTTATTTATTACACAGTTATATTTACATTATAATGCATTCAAGAAAGTTTTTCTTTGTTTTTATCTTCATTTATATATAATATTTTTATTTTTAATATAAAAATTTAATGACCTGAATAAATTTCTCTATAATCTGCATTATTATAAGTCTAATGTAATGTGTTATTCTATACTTCAATAATGAAAATTTTTTCTAAAGAGAAACATACATTGTAAATTTGTTAGATGTGATATAATACATCGTGGAAAAATTAATTCAGTGTGATTATTTTTCCGATGGAAAGAGGATTTTCCTCTTTATCTGGTTTTTTTTTCTGTATGTGACAAGCAAATATGATAATGATCTATACAAAGTAAAAGTAAATGTTTCTCAGGTTTATTGTTGTAATGTGATAAAAAATACACATAGAATTTATTTATTCTTGATATTAAATTTCTTAGAAACAAAAAAAAGTTTACAATATATTAAGATTTAAAATCAAAAAATTTATTTGTCATTACATGATCAATAATCTCAAGTGATTTTTATTAGCCAATAGTTATCTTTTATGTTACCAGTTCATTAATTCCTTGATGAAGATAACTTCCCCCCCCCTCCCTCGCATTTTTACATGCAAAAAAAAAAGAATAAAAACATTGAAAGGATAATTACACTTAATATAGGATAAGTCACAAAATAATACTACGATAAATAATTCAAATATGTTCGTTTCAGTTCATTTTAATGGACTGATTATGTGCTTAGTCATACAAGTTGATTTAAAACTTGCTTTCATACTACTATTATTGACATATTGTTGATTAAGAAGAATAAATGTGTAGTGCAATAAAGTAATTTTCAATTACCATTTAAGAGAAATAAACAGAAGAAATCAAAACAAACTTTAAGAGTGATATTGCATAAATATGCATTGTAAGTTACTTAGTTTAAATGTTGAAACTCATATATGCAATGATAACTAATGCACACAATTGAAACTCATTGAAGTAGTAAATCGCCAATTTTCTGGCAACAACTAGTATTCTATGTTTCAAAAATTCGAAATATTATAATTATTGACTTTTAAAATAACTAGTTCTGAAAATTCACACCAATGTAATTGAATCTCTAAATTTTGTTGTCATTTTATTCTCTTCGATCATAATTAGTAATTATCTTGAAACACTATACATGTATTTATCTTACTTGACAAAAGATTAAATTTCTATAGTAAGATCAATAATAATCTTGAATAGTAGTATTTGTTTGCATTATTCGTATGAAAAACAAAATTTTGAATTAATCTATATCATTAAACAAAACAAAAAAAAATTTTGTCTATTCAAATGAATCGAAGCAGAAATGTTTCAATCATTAATCATGATATTCTTTATGCAACTACGTTATATAACAATACTTACACTAATTATCTTTTAAAAAGTTTCATTTCTTTTGAATTTTTTTCTCTTTATATCATAAGATTTGATAATAATACAACAAAAAAAAAACAAACCTACATATAAGTACTTTTTCAAATAGGAAACACGTCATACATTTTTTTTTACTGAGTAAAATAAAATTTCATTATAAATATTTTGTTGTAGCTATGCGTCGTGAACATTATCTACTTGTGAATGGTTATTCAACAAATTATTGGGGTTGGGGTGGTGAAGATGATGATATGCATGCTCGTATTATTAGTAAAAATTTAAAAGTTGAACGTCCACCAGCATCTATTGCACGTTATAAAATGTTAAAACATACTCATCAAAAATTAAATCCTGCTCGTATGAATGTTTTACGTACAGCACGAAGTCGTATTGATTCAGATGGTCTTAATAATGTTAAATATAAATTATTAAATACAACTTTTTATCATCTTTATACTCATTTTATAATTGATGTTGGTGAACAACCAAAATAACATGTATATATATATATATATATATATGTTTAGTTATTAATTAGATCATTTATATTTTCTTTTTTGTTTTTATTATGAAAAGAAAAAAAATATTAAAAAAATTTTTTTTTTCTTTTCTTTTTTTTTTGATTGCTATTAATTATAGAGATAGACTGCAGGAAAAAGAATATTAACCAGAAAGAATACTACATTGATTTTCATCTGTTTCATCACCACAATGATTTCGTCCATCACATTGAAGTTGTTTTGAAATACAATTCTTGTTTTTACATTGAAAAAAGCCAAGATTTTGAGGACATGAAGCAATCACTAAATTCAAAAAATAATTACAAAAATAATCAATTATACTAAAATAGAATCATACTTGGAAAATGAAGTGCAATTGCAGCTTGAAATCCAGATGATTCAACAGCTGAATTACTTGTAAATGTCATTGATATTTGTGTTGTTGAACTCTAAATAATAAGAAAATCTTTTTTTAAAATTAAATCTTGATAAAACATCATACTGTAAAAGTAAAAGGTGAAGGTGTACCACATTGTTGTTTAGAATCTTTATTAAGTAATGTTGTACCATCATAGATATATAATGAATCACCTGGACAATCACTAATATCCATTTTTTCTATTGTAATAATCAATCGTTGACTTGGTTGAGCTGTACGAAATCTTACGGTGCAATTGAAATTTTTTTTATATTTACTGCTGCTTGTTAATTGTAATGAAATACCTGGTTGCTTATCACCATCGAAAACAAAATGATCATTTCCACACATTTTATCCATATAGTCTAGATGAAAGTAAAAAAAAAAAAGAAGAATTGTATTCAAATTTCTTTGACATACTATTTTCAAAGATTCAATTTTCGAATTGGACCATAAAAATTCAGAAAAAATAACTTTTTACACATTTTTTAAAGACTTTCTTCGACTCTGCCGATTGCTTTGAGTTGTAGAAGATTTTCAAAGATGTTAAAAAAAAGTATTCTCTACAAAATGGGCTACGTCAATAGTTATTACAATAATTTTTAGTAATCGAACGTGCTCCTACAAGGAAAGGTGACTTTATGGTTGATGAGTGTAATCTTGTTAGTAAAATTTTGATTGCAATTTCATAAGAAGAGATGAGATGAAGTATCGTATCTCATTTCGGATCATTAAGCTCTAAGCTTTAAAAGTATTTCTTTTTTTTTAAAATTTTCTTAGATGTTGTTTTTATGTTGAAAAACATTGAATTTTTTTTCCTTGCATTACTACCAAAAGCATATAAAATTGTTAAAACTCTGCTCGTTTTCAGTAATTTTCATAATTATAGTTTTGTTGTAGAGCAACATAAATAGTATGTTCGAAATCAACGGAAAGATCTATATCAGATTAAATATACTATTTATTTTACTCCGATATTAAACTATGCTATGAAAAACTGCTAAATACGAACAGCATTAGAGACAAATTACTGGCAAAATAACACTCACAAGCCATGTAACTAGAAGTTATTATAATGAGTACTGACGTAGTTCATTCTATAGAGAATTTCTTTTTCTTTTTGCATTTTTGGAGATCTTCTGCAATTCAAAACAATCGAAAGAGTCGGAAAAAATCTTAAAAAAACAACAAAATGTGAAAAAAAATCATATTTCTGAATTTTTTTGGTCTAACTCGAAAATTTGGAGAATTATGATCTTTAGTATTTTTCATAAGTATGTTAGAAAATCCTGATATTTTGCATTCATAAGTTTTACGCTATGATCTCTCATTTGAATTAGAAAAAAAAACAATTTAGTGACAGTTAGCTTGGATGATAGTCTAATGAGATCGTCTCTTAAATACTTACATTTGTCATTACCAACTTTAGCATCATTTAGTCCAATGATCAAAATTAACAAACATAAAGGAGTTAAAATTCGAAACACACTAATCGTTGCCATTGTATGTCTATCTTCAAATGGTAGAAAAAATGTAAGTGAATATTAGAAGAATATTTGTTTTTTTTTTCTGCACTCAAATTAAAAACAAATGATAAATGTGATTGTTCGTTTTGAAAAATCATTAATATATCCATCTGACGATAATAAAAATAAGTCAAATTGACTTTTTGTTTTATATTTTAAAATTAAAATATGATACAAAATACTGCTGAAACTAAGCTTTCGATTATAAAAAAACAAATGAAATATGATCTATCCTGTATGATATATAGAAAATTGTATCGTAAATTTGGCAAGACTTATAAAGATAAATATTCGGACACTGATATATGAATACAAAAATGAAAAACAAAGATTTCGTCCTTGATAAGAGAAATAAGATATTTTATTTTCATAAAATTTTTTATCACATTCATATTATCGTGCGTATCACTGAAAAAATCAACTATGAACTATTTCTAGAACAACTTCATCGATTCAGATGGCCTCTGAAATTATGAAAAGAAGATTATATTTTAGATTTAGTGAATCACTATAAGATTTTTCTGAATTTGATGGATTCAAGATGACATCAAACACATAAAAGTTTTGAAAATTTATTCTTGATGTGATTTTTCAAATTCAATTGTTTTTACTAAACTTGATCAAAAATTAAAATTATTCAAATGAATATTGGACGTTATAGAACTTCAACAACTGAATATTATTATCAAGATGAATTGAAATGTTACAATAAATGCTGATTTTATACCATACGTTTTGAAATCAGAAAACGTCCATCCATAAAAATATCTAGTTTTTGTTCTTTTCAATAAGATTTTATTTGAAAACATTTATCAATAGACGAAGACTCATAAGTTGTTGAGTGACAATATCTTTGATCATCAAATTTTTTTAGCATTTATTTAACATTATTATTTCTCAATAAAG